CAAACACAACTATGCCAATCATAAATTGTGTATGAATCTGCAATCTAACATAACTATCCCACAATGCACCATAATTTGGGATTGCGATATATGTCTTACATTATTTTGCCAACATTGACATAGACTCCATATGTTAAATTAGTTTTCGTAAGTTTATCATTAAAACCGTTCATATTTGGTTATATATTTTCCCTTGAGTTTGTTCATTTCATGATTTGGGGTTGTCCATACTGAAACAGAAAAAAACATAAATGTGACAAAATCTTGCAATTAACTATGTTTTATTATTACTTTCAGTTTACATAACAGCAAAAGAATATTTACCAAGTACAACAGGACTATACCAAGATGTCTGTTCTACCACCACTGTTTCCCTATTCACAGGTATTTTTGTACAATATTTTTGTCAATTTTAGGGCCTTCCAGTCTGTATTTTGCTCTTTGCTGTCGGTTTACACATCTAAAGGGTTGCATTCTGTGAGAATGTCAATTTCAACCTGTTGTCATATGGTTGTGAGTATTTGGTGGTCTTGCAGAGTGCTTCCCCTTTTATTGGCAATACATATTTGTAAGATTATGTATTTATTTATTTTTAAATTCTTAAGGAATGATCTTCAATTCAATTTTCCCAACTTTTTAATTCAAAATGGGTTAAAAGTATCACTCACTAAAACGTGGTTCTAAACAGACTACAGGTATAAACAGAACAGAGTGAAAATACTAATTAACTATGTACAGTGGCCAGCATATTGAGACATATTCATATGTTAAAATAGCTGGAGGTGTTTGTCGTACCAGGTGACACAGACTGAGAAATCACACCAGTAGTTTTTTTTTCAAGTTAAGACTATCCATAAAAAACAACTACCCTGGTAGGTACAGCTGACCTTAGGTCATTCAATACATTGTCAGCCAGCTTTCTAGCTCATTGTTGACAATAGCAAATAATACTAAAGATTTTCCCCTTGAGATCATTAGTTGGCTATAGGTTTAACAGGCAATATAGCACACACTGGTAATCTGTTAGTTTTCCAAACAGCGGTTTATTGTTTGTTTTCCTGCATGATTTTTTAGCTGATATTAACATGCAAGTAAGGGGCAACATCAATGGATCAACGTCTGTTAAATCGAAGGAGTCGTCACCTGTGCATGCATCAGATGGCCATAGTGTGTCATTGTTTACAAACAAGCGTCGACCCATGTGCCTTTGCGTTTTTAGCGTGTGTTGTTATCGTCACTTGGGACTCAGTTCCCATACGTGCACAAGTGACGACCCTCCCGCTTTAAAAAGCTTAATTCCTTTAGTCTGGGATCGTGGGGTTGGTTACACACACTTATTTAATGAAAAACTAATTATAAGATGTGTTTATTATGATATAAACATGGTGTTTCACCATTCCTGAAATAAGGCAATATTTATACCTATGATACATATTATGTACTTAAGTTTTACAAAATTTAAGAAATTCATTATTTTTTTTATCCTACAATGGACATTTGATTGTTTCCTAAGTGTACATGGTTATGAGCAAAATTGTAGCAGTATATTCTGACTTATCATAAACTGCAAAACTGTCAAAAACTTATAATTAAACTTTTGTTTGTTGTGGAAAATAATGCCACAGTCCATCAACACTTTTGTAAAATAATATAAACCACTGTAAAACACCTTGGAACCCCGTAGGCAGGCCGGTGACACCGGTTCGCACTTAAGGGGGTACCCCCCCCCCCGCCAAATTCCAAGGGAAAATCAAAACATTTAAAACACAGAACAAGTAACATAAAACATATATGCGCTGCTGTAAGTGTGTGCAATGATAGCCCACCAAGAGGACAAAACTCTTGGCTCCTGTGCGTGTGCTAATTTTGCTAATTCAATGATGTTCGTTTGTATCGATGTTTAACAACAAGACAAGGCAACTTCCTGTTTTAAATAGATCATACCTGCCACAATTACTGTAGAATGCGAAGTGTGTTATCCTTGATTTTACAAAGTGCATCCTCTACCGTCCACATAATCTCAAATTCAGGCAGTTGGTTCATGATCCGGGAACATTTATATTCTGTTTCAAGCCTCGACTTAATGCTTTGAATAAAAATTTCCAGAGGCTCACTCGAGCCTTTGTTTTGCCTTTTATTAGAACGGCTAACATAAATTGCAATTATATTATATTATATAGGTCCAAAATGGAGGTAAAAACAGAGCAATTTAAAACTTTTTCAGGACTTTTACTGGATTAAATTTGTGTTATATTCATAGTGCAATGTAGAAAACAACAACAACATATATTTCCATAAAATAAAAAATGTTCAATCACCTCTCTGTCGAAACTATTTTGTTTCATGAATTTATGTGCAGTTTCAATTTTTAGAAACTCATTTTAATAATTTAATAAGTTTTTCCATACCATTATCACAATTTTTTCCAAGATTATTTGTTGGTATTAATATTATGTTATCACAATCCACATCCATAATCAATAAATAACTGTTATTTATTTAATGTGCCTACAG